ATTTTAGTTTAAATGGTAAAAAAATATAATTTAATTATAATATATTAAAATAGTTTTAACAAAAAAATTATTTAAATATTTAAATAGTCCGTTGTCATCTGAAATTGAAAACTAGTTTTTTGATGGATCAAACTTATTCTTGTACTTTTTTTTGGAAATTAATAGTAAATAATAGAAAATATATAACAAAACAAATCCAACATGATCGCACTGGCCCTTGAGGCCTAGTGGCATGGCTATGGTGCATTCTTCCTCCCGGTAGAGTTTAAAACCTACCTCGCAAAATATGTTCAAAAAAAAAAAAAAAACAAATCCAACATGATCAATTTATTAAAAAGCACTTTATCTGGTACATGATCAATTTGTTATCTTCTTTAAACCCATCATCAAGCTTGATTTCAATAGTTACCTTGTGGCCCAAACATGAGCAGTCTACTTTTTTCTTTATTTATCTTTTTGTTCTCTCTCTGCTATCTTTTCCTCTTTTTTGAAGTGAGTATTTCCTCGTTAAACATGACCCGTTACGCGTAGCGCATACTTACAAAAAGACTTTTTGTTATTTTTTTTACTCTATTTTATTATTTTATTTTTCTCATAATTGTAATACTTATATTGTATATGGACTCTTTTTATAAGACTTGACTGAAAACTACATTCCCATTTGCACCAAAAAAAAACCTGACCCGATATCAAGTCCACTCATGTAATTAACTTAGTCACTTTCTCTTGTCTACAAGTTGATGCTTCATTAAGTAATCACTTTCTTTTATTGACCTTTGTCTTTTTCCGGTTCTTTCAGCAAAGCAATTAGACTGTTTACAAGTCAGGATTTGAAATCCCCTATCCTCTATATATGTAATTCACTCTTTGTAAAATTGTTTTTTTGTAGTTTACAACTTATTCTGTTGTACATGTTACAACAATTTTTAGCAATCTATTCAAAATTTTAATAATTATTGTAATATTTTAATTTTTAAATTAAACTCATAAATTTTAAAATATATAATTAAAAATTAATGTAAAAGTTTTTTAAATTTATATAAGTAAATTTCGTTACATATATTATATTTTTGATAAATGAACTTAAAAAAAAGTAGCAAAAGGGATCCACACTCGGAATCCTAAATGGAAAATGACTGTTTGGTTATGAGAGCGGACTGCTAATAACATTCCAAAATCGTTAAAAGCATTGCCAACTTCATACGGTACTGCCGTGCTGGTAAGATAAGATATGTGTGGTTGCAAGTAGGGTTAGGTACAATTCAGTTTTAGTTTAATTAAAATTAATATTTAAATTATTTTT